TCAGTGTTGTTCGCAAGCCGTAGTTCCCTAGTTTAAAAGAGCCCCATTTGCAGCTTGCTTAGAGCATGATTGGTTATACATGGTTTATACACATGTAATCAGATTTACCGTATCAGTTGGGGTAATCATATGCACAAGCAATGACGGTTCTAAGCACAAGCATGCAGCAGTTTCCCACACAGGTTGGAATTCCTTGGCTTGAACGAGTTTGATTCAGCTTACTCAGAGTAGCGGGCGGAGAACACACCTTCTTAGCCAGTTCCCTGCCAGCTTCACTTGCCATAACCTTGCAAGCCAAACTACACGAACGGCACCTGATTGCCTGTTATACGACAGCCCTAGCCTCCGTAACATTTTCATCTTGTGCACACCGACTAGGATTGCGCCTGTGAGAGCATTTGTATCGAGGCGCATGCGCTTGAGGCAAGTAAAGGAGTTGATTGTAGGGGATGGGGCCGAAGAGGCGGTTGGAGAGGTAGATGACTGCAAGGGAGGCAGAGCAGGAGGGGGAGAGTTAGGTGGGCGGGCCTTGTAGCAAGGTTGAGGATGGTGAGGGCCTGCTTTCCCTGGCAGAAGGCGGGAATGGGGCCTGAGGAGTGGGGGGAGGTAGGAGCAAGAACAGGGACAAAACAAGGAGGAACGAAGAGTCAATTAAAGCAAGGAAGTGTTATCAGCAAGGGGCGCAGGTTCGGGAGGAGAGAGGAAATTGAGAGAAACCGGCCACGAGGGGGTGGAGAGAGGGTTGGGTGTCAGAATGTTGTATTTGTCTAGCCTGCAGTGGGGTACTCTATAGCAAGTACAGCCCAATCTAGGGTTTCCTATATGTACTCAACTGCTTGCTAGTGCAACCCTCTTTTTCTTGTTCTAAACTATTCTTCGTTCTTTCACATGCTATCAGAGCGTGTCCTTCCTTGGCCTGTGGGCCCACCAACCTGCTTCCGCTGCTACTTGATTTGTCGCACGCCCCGTGGCGTGCGACGATTTACTCTCTGGCGCGCGCTTTCCTTCCTGGCGCGCCGCCCCCGCTATTTCGTCACGGCACCCTAGGGAGCCGCGCGCGCCCCCCGCCCGTCCATTGCGACGCCCTAGGGTGTCACGCGCGGCCCCTGCCGTCCTGTCGCGGCGCCCGGGCAAGGCGCGCGCGGCCCCTGCCGTCACGTCGCGGCGCTCTGGTGTCGCACGCGGCCCCTGCCGTCCTGTCGCGGAGCCCTGGGAGCCGCGCGCGACCCCCCGCTACCTCGTCGCGGCGCCCTGGGGAGCCGCGCGCGGCCCCTCGTTGCCCCGTGGTGGCCCCCTGGGGGCCGCGCGCCGTCCCCCTAGCCGTCCCCCGCACTCCTACCCCCTGCCACCCGTTTTAGGGTTTGGGGGTGTGGAGTGTGGGGGTGGCGGTTGTGGGGGTGGCGGTTGTGTGCGCCGTCCCCTACTCCTCCTCCTCCTCCGTCTCCCGCTGCTGCAGCTGCCGCTCAGGGGGGTGGGTGTGTGGGAGCCGAAGGAGTGGTGCTAGGGGGGTGTCGTGGGAGTGGAGCTAGGGGTGCAGCAGGGGGTGTGTGATAGGGGCGTGGGGCAGCTGGGGGGGGTTGAGTGGAGGCAGCCGTCGTGTTGTCAGCAGCGCCAGTAGTCCGGAGGCTACAATCTCCGGTAGTCGCCAGTCGCCTGTGGGTCAGTTGCTCCAGTCAGGAGGCTACAATCTCCGCGGAGCCAGTTACTCCTGTAGTCCGGGCCCTTGCTTCGGTAGCCACTGAGCCAGCAGCTCCTGTGTGTCTGCAGCTTCAGCAGTAGCCTCCCATCTTCTCGCCCCCATAGTCTCTCCTCCTCCTCACTTGCCCTCTGTGATAGCCTCTAGCTTTGCTTGCAATTGTGAACCTGCTCTATGACTGCGTGCTCTGCTGATTACACCCCACTCTGGCTATGGGGGTGTGTCAGAATGTTGTATTTGTCTAGCCTGCAGTGGGGTACTCTATAGCGAGTACAGCCCAATCTAGGGTTTCCTATATGTACTCAACTGCTTGCTAGTGCAACCCTCTTTTTCTTGTTCTAAACTATTCTTCGTTCTTTCACATTGGGCAGGTCGGAGTGGCCATTGTAAGAAAGGTTGAGCATGGTGAGGGATTGCTTGCCCTGGCAGAAGGTGGGGATGGGGCCTGAGGGGTGAGGGATGGGAGATAGGAGCAAGTACAAGGATACAACAAAGAGGAACGAAGAGTCAAATAAAGCAGGGTAGTGTTAGCAGCAAGGGGTGCAGGATCGGGAGGAGGGGGGAGGAGGAGAGAAACGAAGCAAGAGGGGAAGACAGGGGGTGGGCGGACGGAGAGGGCATCGTTGGCGAGGTTGAGGAAGATGGGTAGGCAGAAGGTGGGGACGGGGCCTGAGGGGTGCGGGGAGGGGGGATAGGAGGAAGTTAAGTGATGGGGCCAGAGCGAAAAGGAAGCGAAAGGAGAGAAGAAGATGACTAGATGAGAGGAGTGAACAGAAAGCTCAATGGAAGAAAACAAAGAGCGTTCTTTCAGAAAGCTGACCTGTCAGAGCGTTTTCCCCAAGGTCCAAGTATTTAGCTGGGGTAAACTAGTGCGTTTGCCCCGAGGTCCAAGTATTTAAGCTGGGGTAAACTAGTGCGTTTGCCCTGAGGTCCAAATTATTTAAGCTGGGGTAAAATAGTGAGGCCTTGGGGAATTTTCCCTGTAAACTTGTTGAGTCCGAGGCTCAAAGGGGTGATGTCCGTAGAAGGTTTGAAAGCAACTGCAAGCTGCCACAGAAATTGTTGTTGCGTAAATCGAGGAAAATAAAAATAAAAATTGGACTCGAAACGTTTTGCTGGAACGACTCCTATCAGGCGATTATGTGAAAAATATGTTTCTATCTTGCCGCCCCGATCGCGCACAATTTACAGGAATGGGCCAAAAAAAAATTTATCATAAACGTCAATGACCATAACGTATTCTCCGAACCGGATCGTGTTGAAGTTTCTAGTTAGCAGAAGCAGGAACAGGCTTGCAAAGTTCGCGCGCGGTACGGTTGCAAAGGCGAGGCGTGGGTGGGGGGAAGGGGGGCACGAGAGGGTTGACATTGTCCGAGAGGTATATCATGCTAACAGCGTTGCCGGTGCAGCAAGACATGCCGGGCCACGTGCACGCTTTCGGCTTGTTTGCAGGGATAGGTACGAGCGCGGTCGCAATAATCGCCCCGAGACCCGCCGTGTCAGCCGCTGAAGCCTGCGACGAGGCTGTGGATGCATGCAACCATGAACTCGCTGATCGGCCGCTGGTTCTGCCCACCCCTACGTTGGACGCAGATTCTGAACAGAGTGGCTTTGCCGAAGCAGGGACCCCCATGAAATAATTTTGTCTTCGCCCATCGACCAGCGATATATTATGCTACGCGGCAGCGGAACCGTCTGCGCGGCAGCGGAACCGTCTGCGCGAAGAGTCCTCGTCCGCGGCGACTAGCAGGCAACTTCGATACAAGTTGCCTCGATATATGTTGGAAAGCCGTCAATGGTGAGCACTGAAGGAGCAACATGAGGAGGCACGCTGTCGTACTAACGTCATGAAGAACGGAGTTGGAACGCGTGACTCGAGGGTGATCTACGTCCGCCATCTGTGACTTTGAGTCAAGCGATTGCAAGCTTCTGAAAATTGTCTTGTGAAAGCCAAACCTACATAGCTTCAGAGTAATACCTGAAATGAGCTTCAATTTGAGTGAGCTACGATAAGGAAATTAATAGAGGCGATACGAGCTGAGATGTCAAAATAAGTTGGCAGTGAATTCTCCAGAAAGAGGTGAGTGTGTGGCATCCGCCCAATAGTGTCCTACATGGCATTTTCCGCGCCAGACGACGCACCTAGCTCGTGCCATGCGATATTCATGCCGACGGCCGTCCATAAAACATACTACTGAGCTAGTCATTGCTGGTCCGTATAAGAATGCGATGCGCATGCATTAAGCGATGTGAGCATGATAAGGCAAATACGGTGATGAAATGAGTGACTGCTCCTAAAGCAGGAGTATGGACGAATGGAATGCACGCAACAAGTGGGCTTGGCAGGCATTCACCTTTTCGGAGAGGCACCTATGGGAAACTAGGTGGAAGTGGGAGGGGTTGAGTTGAGTTACAGTTGGTTGGGTTGGTGGGTTGGTTGCTTGGTTTGGGCTCGCCTGGGTTGGTTAGGTTCGGGGCTAGTTGGCTTGGTCTGGCTAGGTTTGGGTGGGGTGAGGACAACTAGGTGGGTTGGTTAGAGCTAAGAGGCATTGGGGAGGGAAGGGAAGGTTTGGCATTTGGGGCGAGGCACATGAATTGCCTAGGGGTGGTTTTTGGGTGTAGTGGCTTGGTACACCCCTTAGGGTGCTATGAATGGTTGGCGAAGAGTTCATGCGTTTTGGTACACAAAGCCCATTAGAACGCGTCACATGAAGCAGATCGATTGACTGGAAGATCAGTTTTGCATGCGGGGTATGGCACTGAAGCGTCGTGATCAACAAGGCAACTGATGTTTGAACTGACGAATTCAGCGGCATGGTGAGATTTTTTCCTAATTCCTTATTGCTCCGTATGCGTACAACTCCAACTTTCGGACTTCCAGGCTCGGTCCGATGAACTCGCCCTCCGAACGTCCCTCGCATCGCCTTCGGTTTTCCCAACCACGAACCTGCACCCAACTATTCGCGATCCTGTGAACCCTGCCTAGCTAAGCTAGCCTCTGTTATATCTGTTCTAGGCTTCATTATTGACACATTAATTGTAATCACTTCCGCATTATTGCATTATGCGCACTCTTCTTTTGTACAACGCATAACACTTGGTATCGGAGCTACTTTCCTAGGCTACTCTAACATTCCCGGGATAGTTTGTGTAAGGGGAGTGATATTCATGGTGGACTGCGAAGCGGTCGGCCTGTCAAATGGATACAATTATTTCACTCCGACTACGTAGCATTCACGCCATCCTCAAAAGTCATTAAAAAATTGCTAACAATCCCCTGCCCGTCCGACGAAGCCTATGAAACATGGACCAGGCGGCATTGAACGAGACGATGCAACAGTTCCGGGTGATGCAGACCAACATGCAGACGCTGTCTGATGAGGTCGTGCATCTGAGGGTGGAAAACGCCGAGCTACTCCAGGCGCGAGATGAAGCGCGCCAGGAGTCGCCCTTCGCGGATGAAGCAAGGACCGGCTCTATGCCAAACGAGGCCATCTTTAGTGAGCTTGAAGGCTCTGTGGACGCTGCAGAAGAAAGGCGGGCGCGACAGCCAGAGGCAACATCGGCACCGGCAACAGTAGCAGCGGCAGAACCAACGGCAGCGGCAGTCTCAACAACTGTCAAAGTCAAGCAAAAAAAAACCGCCCCCGTTCAACCCAAGTGACAAGCTCGTCACTCTTTCCAGATGGTTGTTTGGTAAGGAGGTGGTTTGTAATGCTACTCAGGTTCATGACAACGCCGCCCATAATAATAATGCAGTGTCACTGTTACGCGGACCTGCGCTAGAGTGGTGGCGACGCACGCTACAATCCGAGGGGACTCCGGTAGGGATAACACGTGCGAATGATGGGGCTTCAACACAGTCACGCAAAGAGCAACATCAATTTTTGGGATGGCTACGATACGCACATGGAAGGATTGGGGCGTCGCCCTCCAGAAAATATTCGAGCATGTATCCACCTCTGATTCTGCCCCCATGAAGCTGCGTGCCTGTAAACAGTTGACTTCAGTCTAAGACTACACAGCGACATTCTGTGTGTTTGCCGATTAAGTGGACGACATGAGCGATGCGGAGCGATTGGATCAATATGTCGTGGGCCTCAAGTACGAAATACAGTACGAGGTGCGATGCACGGGACCACGCGACTTCAACGATGCTGTCTGTTGGAGTAGGCTAGAGCTCGCTCTGGTCTTTATTTTGGTGTTCTTATATTATTTCTCCATGCTTAGAGAGCGTTACGCATTCAGGTTCATTTTGTAGCTTTTAGTACAAACCGAACACACCCTAGGTTCAATTAGGGTTTCCAACCATCTCTCTTTTGTACCTCGACATTTCTCTTCCTAGTTCAACTTTTTCGACCCTACCTAACTCTCTCGCCATCCATGGCTCCTCTCATCTCAACATGGTCTTCAGAGCGTAGTCCTAGGCGTTTCATATTCATCCGCATTTCTTAGATAATCTCCGGCCCTTAGGCCGTTTTCCGCGCTACTTAGCTAGACGATTTTTTTTTTTTTTCCTTTCCTCTCGTTTCTTTCCCGTCACTCTTAGCATCCGCGCAGTTCTCTTCGTTATACTCGCTCGGGTGCCCTAATCTAGTCCAAAGCGCGCCTCCCTACCGTTCAGATCATCCGTCCGCACCTTCCCTCTTCATCCCGCTTCCTCCTCCTCACGCTTCGGACGGTAGCACGGCGATTTCCGCCTGTAGCGCGCTCAGCCGTCCCCTCCCCCCTCCCTGTCTCGTCGCACGCGCATTGCGCTCCTGCCGCCGCGCGCGCTAAGCACCGTCCAGCACCGCGCGTGCCTGCCCTTCCTTGCGGTGTGCTCTGCCCTTCCTCAACCCGCCCCTTCCCTCACCCTCCTCCTCCTTCCCTCTCTCCTTTGTGCTTCCCCCCAATACCTCACCTCTTCCTCCTCCTATTTTCTCTCCCCATCTGCTGCGGCTCGTAGCTCCTTGTGGCGCGCCCTGCCCTTCCCACAATCCGCCCCTTCACCCTCCTCCTCCTCCCCTCTCCCCCACTAGTTCCCTCTCCACTATCTCACCCCTCCTCCACCTCTTTTCTCTCTTCATCTGCTGCAGCTGGTAGCTGATTGTGTTGTGTAGCTGTTGTTCCTCCACACCTTCCCTCCTCCACAACATCCTCCTCTCAACTGCTCAACTGCACACTCTTCCCAATTCTCCCTCCTCCTCTTGTTTCTCCCTTCAGCGGCACAGCAGCAGACTTCTTCGCCGCTATCCCTCCTCCTCTGGTTTCTCCCCTCATCGGCGCAGCAGCAGACTACTCCGCCATTTTCCCTCCTCCTCTGGTTTCTCCCCTCATCGGCGCAGCAGCAGTCTACTTCGCCATTTTCCCTCCTCCTCTGGTTTCTCCCCTCATCGGCGCAGCAGCAGACTACTTCGCCATTTTCCCTCCTCCTCTGGTTTCTCCCCGCATCGGCTCGGCAGCAGACTACTCCGCCACTTTCCCTCCTCCTCTTGTTTCTCCCCTCAGCGGCTCAGCAACAGACTACCCCGCCCTTATTCCTCCGCCTCTTATACCTCTCCCCACATATGCTCTGCAGCTGTTTCCTCCTCCTCATGGCGACCTCTCTCGCCCTCCCCTCCCTCCCTCTGCTGGTCCTTCAGCTTGCGCCCGATGGCAGTGCAGTCAACTTCCCCAGTTGGCTGAACTGTCTTGAGCGCACGCTGTCTGGTACCCTCGTGAGTGGCTTTAACCTATGGTTTGTCACTCAGCAGAGTGGTTCTGGCGCCATTCCCACCTCTCCCTCTGGACCCACCTCTTCCTCCTCTGACCCCTATGCTGATGGCCTCCGTGCTGCCATTGCTGAAACTGAGCGGCTTGTGACCACGGCGCAAGCCACCGCCACGGCTGCTCCTGACAATGCTGCTGCCCGTGATTTAGCTCGTATTCTTGCTGAGTCCCTCGAGAGCACCCGCAAGCGCCTCACTGAGCACCTCGCTGCCCCTTCTCCTCGCTCTGTATCTACGCCCATTTCCTCTGCTCCATCTCACTCTGGTCTTCTCGCTGACTGGCATGTTGCCAACGCACGTGCCTGTCAGGTCATCCTTGCCTGCCTCCCTCCAACTCTTCTCCCTCAGTGCTCGCACATCCGCTATGCCAAGGACCTTCTCTGCTATCTTACCGAGCGCTTCCAGTCGCAGACTCCTATCAGTGTCATTGCCCTCTTACGCGAGCTCACCTCTCTTCGTCTTGCTGACTTCACCACCATGGCGGACTACATTGCTCGTGTGCAGACGCTGTCCTCCCAACTTGCCTCTCAAAAGTTTGAACTTTCCGATCATGTGTGCGGTGCCCTCCTTGTGAGGATCTAGGATCGAGCTCAGAAAAGAGAATGTGAATTGAATCGAATTGAATGATCACCTGGGTACAACACGAGGCTATATATAGGCTCGACACAAGGCCCCGTAACCAGGTGTTACGCGAAGGTTCCGCGGGTCGCGAAGCGTCCCGAACAGATCCTTACCGAATTTGGTAGAAGGCAATTCGGTGGCAACCGAAAAGCCAGAATTCGGTGCACGCAACCTAGCTCGGTGCTATAACTATAATAAAATATAGGAAAGCACCTAGCCTAGGAAATCAAGCAATTCATGCATGCATATAATTATCCTATGCTAGAAATAGCATGATAAAGTAAAGGCAAGCAAGCATAGCTGGCATAAGCCGTCGTACTCTCACACGTCCCCCCCTCAAAGCTGGGTGGCGTGAGAAACACCCTGCTTGACAAGATAGTCCTTGAGAGCACGGCGTGTGTTGCCCATATCAACTTCTGCAACCCAACTATCCTCAGTGGGGTCGTATCCCTTCCAGCGTATCAGGAACTCGAGGGCCTTGCCGCTACGGCGCCGATGAGAGAGAACGTGCTCAATCTCGTACTCGGGTTCATCCTGCACAAGAACAGGTGGAGGTGGCGGTAGCTGCCGTCCCTGGAACTGGTGGTTGGGGTCCTTGTAGGGCTTCAGTAGCTGGACATGGAAAGCATTGTGAAGCTTCCATGTATCTGGTAAGCGCAAACGGAATGTAACTGGTGTCACCTGTGCCTCCACGAGAAACGGACCACAGAAGCGAGGCCGGAGTTTGGATGGGAGGTGAGATAGGTTCAAGTTGCGTGTGTCAAGAAGCACCTGATCTCCGACTGCTACTGAGTGATCTCGTCGCTGACGATCGGCATACTGCTTCTGGGAGTTCTGCATCGTGGTGAGACGTCGCTGAGTCTTCTCCCATAGCTGCTGCATGGTGGTGACGAAGTCATGTGCGGCTTGGACGTGTGCCGGTGTGGTTGGCTGCTGTGGTGTGAGTGGTTCCCGTCCGTAGCACATGAAGAAAGGAGTTTTCCCTGTGGCCGCATGTGAGGCGTTGTTGTAAGCGAACTCTAGGGTCGGTAACTGTGTGTCCCAGTGGCTGACGTCGTCCTTGCAAGCTGTGCGCAGTAACTGTTCAACCACTTGATTGAGTCGCTCTATCTGTCCGTCGTCTGGGGGTGGTATGCTGAAGACATTGCAAGCTTTGTCCCCAACAGTCCCATGAGCTCGTTCCAGAACTTACTGGTGAATTTTGGGTCTCTGTCTGAGATGAGTGTAGCGGGGATGCCGTGGATGGTGATGATGCGGTCGAAGAAGAGGCGAGCAGTTGCTTCAGCTGTTGCCGTGGCGTTGGTTGGTATGAAGTGACCCATTTTGGAGAACTTATCGATTACTACGAGGATGGAATCGTGCCCCCGTGAGGTCGAAGGAAGTCCTGTGATAAAGTCGAGGCTAACGACCTGCCATGGCTGCTCCGGTACGGGTAGAGGCTGAAGTAACCCTGCTTTTTTCTGCTTGCTGCTCTTCATCCGCTGGCACGTGTCGCATGAGGTGACGAACTGTTGCACGTCTGCTGCCATCCCGGGCCATTAGTAATACTTCGCTATCCCTGCTAATGTCTTGTTGCTCCCGAAATGTCCCGCGTAAGGTACGTCGTGAAACTCCTCCAATAGGATCTGCCGTAGCGGGGCGTAATTCGGTACCCAAATCTTTCCTGAACCCTTCCTTACCGCTAAGTCTTTCTCCCACTGTAACAGCTTCTTACTGAGGTAGGCGATGGGCTGCAAACTGCGTTCGTGATGCTGGATCAGTACTGCTCCGACTGCTTGGTCACTAGCGTCTGCTTCCACCACGTAGTCTCTGTCTGGATCCGGTAGGATGAGTACTGGCGCTGTAGTCAGTGCTGTCTGTTTGTTCAGTGCGCGGTAGTCGATGCACATCCGTAAACTACCGTCTGGCTTTGGAGTGAGGAGAACTGGTGCACCGTAGGGAGAGGTGGATGGGCGGATCAGTTGTCTGTCCACTAGATACTCTATCTGTTTTTTCATGTCTGTCAGTTCGGTCGGACTCAGTCGGTATGGTGCACGTGAGACGGGTTTCGCACCTGGTTCCTCCACGATCTCGTGCTCGTGGGTGCGTGCTGGAGGTACGCCTGTGGGTGGGTCGTTGGGCATTATATCCTTGTGTCAGAGGTCCACTGGTGATCCCTGATTGATCCTAGGGAAGGGTTACAGGCATGTTGGCCTGGGGGGTTATGGGCGCACTGACCCGCTACTCAAGAAGCCCTTTTATCCCAATGGTCTAGTGGTTGCGATTCTGACATGGTATCAGAGGGAAGGTCTCGGGTTCGAATCCCAGTGTGTGCACTTCGGGCATCCCAGTGCGGGGGGGTGTCAGAGGTCCACTGGTGATCCCTGATTGATCCTAGGGAAGGGTTACAGGCATGTTGGCCTGGGGGGTTATGGGCGCACTGACCCGCTACTTAACAAGCCCTTTTATCCCAATGGTCTAGTGGTTGGGATTCTGACACCTTGTACTGCTCCAAGACCTCCTCCTCTGCTGCTGCCATAACCAGTGCTAAGTAACCCGTGTTACTCTCGTTCACTGTCCGTTCAAACCGTGCCAGTGTCGTTTCAGGAACGCTCCCTGTATTCGTCCAGCTTCGCAGCTCCACTCGTTTCCCATTGTTGTAGATGCACGCCTTCCTGTTGACCCAGTCGATCTCGGGGTTGAACCGCTTCAAGAAATCTCGCCCCAAGATGAAATCTAATCCCTTGATGTTCGTGATCGACAACGCCGGCTTCCACCTCAACGCCCCTATCTGCAGCTGCAGTGTTGACTTGCCGTGGATGGGAAGCTTCAAACCGTCCACCATCGTTGCTGTAAACTGGGTTTCTTCTGAGGATTCTCCAATTTTCTCCAACGTCCCGCGGTCGCACACCGAGTGGGACGCACCACTGTCCACCAGGGCCTGGAGGCGACGCCCGTTGCAGATCACCTCGAGTACTAGTGGTTGCTGCTGCTCCGAGTATCCGTAGATGGTATCGCTTATAGGATCGTAGGGTACGTCGAATATGTTATCCCTAGGTCCTGCACTCGAAGATGCAGCTTCAGTATCAGTTTTCAACTGAGAAAGGTTAGAAGGATTTATCCGAGGCCGATTCGGCTTCTCTTGGGCCTGGAACCTTCCACTAAGCCTTTGCAGCTGTGTAGGCTTCATCTGTGGGGAACAGGGAGCCTTTAAACAGTGCTGCTGGGAGAGAATATTAACTCCTCGGAATGCTCGACCCGTATTAGCGCTCTGGAGTAGGGTCCCCATAATACCCGGTACCAGTTTAATTTCTGACTCTCCCTTAATAAAGGCTTGAAACCCACGAGAAGTAATATTCTTACTTGTCGGGGTATACGGCTGGAGTTTCCCGGTCGGTGCAGGGTCTTGTTTCGCGGATCCTCCATTAGTCTCGGCGATTTCCCCTGGTGCCGGCTGGTCGTGACGTTTTAAATTTGCGCCACCATATTCTCCTTTTTTCGCCCTCTCCGAAGTTGCCACGTTGTCCGTTTTCTGCTTCGGGGGTGCCGCACTGTTCTTGTCCTTCAGCTCCGCACACCTTCTCTTCATTTTCCAACACGCCAAGATACGATGTCCTGTAGCGCCGCAAAATTTGCACGTCTCATTATTTGCTAGCCGCTGCTCCACATCGCCCTCGTCGTTCTCCATCGGGTCGGCAGTCGTGGGTGGTGCCAATCGCCCCAAGCCACTAGTTGGCTTGTTGCGTCGTGTTCCGTAGTAGCTACTGTTCAACGTGTCGAACTGTTCGATCAGTGCTGCCGGAAACTGCGCCCACGTCCCCTCGCCTTGGACTATTCTGTTGTTGATCCACTCTAGAGCTGGGCCTCGTAACGGTGTTGCTGCGAGCCGTATGCGCATTGCGTCTTTTGTCGGGGTCGTGCATCCAACGGCTTCGAAGTAAATTTCGAGTTCAGCTACAAATCGACGAACGTCGTTCCTTTTTACTGTAGGATCGAACGCCTCCGGTAGCCTCGGCTTCACTGCTTCGAGGTTAACTGTAGCTGCTGCCGTTGTCGCATGTAGAATTGTCGGTGTTGCCGCTGCTGCTGCTGCTACTGTTGTCGCTGCTGCTGTGGCGGTTGGCGACTGGTTCGCAAGGAGTTTTTCGAGTCGTGGGAGCGCCGCATGTATTTGCTTATGCTCAGCACGTAACTCCGCGATTTTCTGTACTGAAATATCTCTTTTTCCCTCCATTTGGCGATTTACAGGAAGTTGCGCGACGAAACAAATCGAATTCTAGGTGCTGGTCGACTTACTGCGAGTCAAGTTGACTAAAGGATCGACGAGCGGGAATTCTGTAGGTCGCGTAAATCACCCTTGGGCGAAATTCGCGTCCGATCTTGGCCGTTGAGGAGAAAATCAATCCGACGCTCCAAATTCCAATTTTTTTGGGCGAAATTCTCTGGGCCGTTGAGATGAAACTCGATCGAACGGTCGAAACTCCAACCCTTCCACCAGTAAATCTGAGGGGTGTTCGAAAACCGAATCGAGGGGGACTTAGAAAAATTGCGCGGAACTGGTTTTACATACCCGTATCGGCGCTTTCGTCGTCGCCCCCGCGGTTTTTTAAAGGCCGGAACTAAGCGGTTGAAGACCTCGCGTGAAAACCCGCTCTGATTACCAAGTGTGATGATCTAGGATCGAGCTCAGAAAAGAGAATGTGAATTGAATCGAATTGAATGATCACCTGGGTACAACACGAGGCTATATATAGGCTCGACACAAGGCCCCGTAGCCAGGTGTTACGCAAAGGTTCCGCGGGTCGCGAAGCGTCCCGAACAGATCCTTACCGAATTCGGTAGAAGGCAATTCGGTGGCAACCGAAAAGCCAGAATTCGGTGCACGCAACCTAGCTCGGTGCTATAACTACAATAAAATATAGGAAAGCACCTAGCCTAGGAAATCAAGCAATTCATGCATGCATATAATTATCCTATGCTAG